CGGGGGCGTGCGCCCGCCGCCTGCGCCGCCCTCGCGCGGCCGCCGCCTGCGCTCAAGGGCAGACCTCAGAGGCGTCACCTTCAGGGCTGTCTCGGCGTATGTGAGTAATTTGCAAGATTTTATTAGTATTTTGTCTTTACCTTCAGTTCTGGCGGAGTTCGTCTTTTGTTTTCAGAAACATTTATGGGGTGACACATATACCCGGGACCAAGATTTTCGTCAAAATCTTTTCTCGAGTCTTTGGCGTTCTCTTGAACTCTTACATAATTTTAGGTGAGTTGAGAGTTTCAATATTTACAATTAATTGAAAATACTTCAATTAATTAAGGTTTTCGTATTGAAACCGTTTTCTTGCTTTCTGGTAATACTCTAGTGATCTTGTGCTCAAAAGGGTTCGATAAAAGGAAACAATTCCAAAATAAGCTTTTTCTATTGTTCTTTATATGTTTGGGAGTGTTGAATTCGAATTTTAAGTTTTATAAACGTCATATTTCCAGGGATAATTGCTAAAAATTGTAAAACTTTTGCCCGCTTTTCTTTTTTTTCGCTTATACATCTACAAATATGCGTTTTATCTAAATGACTACCAGTAACAAAATTAAAGTAGATAGTACTCCTGTAAAATTCACATATCGGATTTTATATTCTGACAAACGATTACGATACTGAAGCGTGTTGAAAAACGATGTGTAGTCGGGTTGGGTAGCATCGCTTTAATTCTCTTCATTCAAAGTCAGCATCGTGATGAATGAGGTATCCATGGCGAAGTCTGGTTTACACAGAGCGGTCATGGCTACCGGCTATACTTTGCCCAAGTCAGGGTTGCTACTTACTAATCACTTCAGTTCGTTTCGAGCCGTCGTGGAGTCAACATCGCGCTCAGCTCTGTTCCGAACAGTGAAGAGCCTGCCGTTAAGTCTTGTTTAAGTTATTCTATAGCGTACTTTCATCAACTGGAATGTCAGTTATTAAAAATACTGATAACAATTCGAAACTCATAAACCATTGAAAGTGATTTAGTACTCAGCAACCCTGGCCTAGGGCAAAGCATAGCCGGGGCCATCGCCGCTCTGTGTGATCCAGACTGCGCCATGGACACCTCATTCAACACGGTGCCGCCATCCCATGGGTAACATCAAAGCGGTGCTACGCAACACGGCAACGTTAGTCTTAGATATGGTATTCGCAATCAACAACCGTCGTACGCGGGAGTCCAGGAAATTCCAATTCAGGAACTAACGACAAGCGGTGCTACTAAGGTCAGTGCTCAGCAAACTGCTAGCGATGCAGTCCAAGGCGTAACAAAAAAAAGTAAATGAAAACTAATACACTGCGAATAGTTCAACATATAGCGGAAAGAGAACATTTAATGACTCAGATGAAAATGAAAATCCCCCTATAAAGCCAATAAACAGTGCTTAAAGTGTATATTCAGTGCCAGTGGGTAATATATATATATATATATATATATATATATATATATATATATATATGCGCGCTTAGAAAATCTAATAGACCATGATTCGAGGTTTAATTATATAAACATCACCTCAAGCCAAGATGAAAGTGTCAAGATTCCACCAATTTATGTGAATAACATAACAAACTTATCAGAGTTTAAGCGAGAAATCAATAACAATAGTTCTAATCAATTCACCTTCACTATAATAAATAACCAAATAAGGCGATTGTTCAAAACAATAACAGACTTCAGAAAAGCAATTAAATATTTATTAAATGCTAAAAAAACTTTCACACCTATAAAGACCCCGCAAATAAAAAATCCTCCATAGTTTTTAAAAATATTCATCAATCTTTATCAATACAGGAAATCTTCGAGCATGTCAAAGAAAAGTACCCTTCGCAAATCAATGTTACCACACTACACAAAGACAACATTCCAATCCCAGTGGTAGCTGCCAACTGCTACAAATTGTACTAGTGTCGGGACATTTAGCCTTAACGGCCAACAGAGCATAGAGCATAGACATTGTATTACAAATAACGGAAATTTGCAACTTAAAAGGGAAAGCTGAAGAGAAAAAAGTAGATCAAAAATACCCACGAGTCTCGCCACGCAACATAAGGCAAATTCAATTCAATTACTTCAGAGTGAAATTAACAAGGCAATTGCAGTATTCTCCCATTAGTGTTCAACTATGTGATGTTTTAAAAATGTGTGGCGACTAAAAAGCCTCACGTTTTCAACGCAAAACTCACTTATTGATTGACTGAACGACGAATAATTGGACTGGGTGTTGGCAACATATTTACAAAAATAATAATGTAATTTTTTTGGCATTAGAACAGAGTGGGGGAAGCGAGACATTCCCATCTTCGGTCAAGAGAGGCCTGATGGGTCCTGGGAAGGGGCCATTAACGAGCTTCTCACTGGCCGAGCTGATGTCGTCGTTGCTGATATGACTTTGTCCGTCCCCCGGAAAGCAATCGCCGAC